TTGCCCTTCTCATTGTTCATTTATTATATTTACTACTGCTTTTTTTGAAATTTTATGATTGAGCTAGATGGTAACATACTGACATAACTAACAGCTAGGAAGTTAATACAAAAAAGGGATTTTATGGAACTTGAAAGATAAAGCAGTGAAATAGGTGATAGTTTTATTTGGCGTCTTGGTGGGGACTCCGAATACCCGCGGGGACCTATTATTCCCCGCAGGGATGGGGACGGAGGCAATTTTTGACCCTCCGCCAAAAATCCCCGCGGGGATCCCCATACCCGCCATTGACAGGGATGGGGATGGGGAGGGGGTCCCCGCCCCCGTGGGGACCCGTTGCCATCCTTATGCCCTCCTCCCAAAAATCACTAGGTTCAAAGAACACTGATTTTCCACAAATTACGGCGATAATGAGCCAAAATAAGTTGCAATTTTCAACCCACGAGGATGAGGATGATCCGTCCAAACTACGGCAGCCAATAACAGTGACTAATTTTGTTTGATTGCGACATTAATCCAGTTACTCGCTCTTATCTATTCAATCTTTCTAGAAGTTTAAGTTTACTTAGTGGAGTTGTAAATATGCAGACTTCCAAGAGGAGACGACTTGACCATTTCAATGTTTATCAACATTAATTTTGTCTATTTAAAAATGATATAATTATAATATCATATCATATAATATTATGAATTTACACCTAACTCAAAAAGTCAAGTGACTTTCGATCATCTTAAAGTGCACTTCTCCTCTTTCTAGATAAGTTTGAATTCGTCTTATGACAATATTGATAAAAAATATATATAATATTATAAATTTATAATATAATAAATTATTTTTTACTTATAATATTATACAAATTTAATCATTTAATGACATATTATATTTATTTAATATCATATTATAATTATAAATTTAATTATAATTATATATAATATAATAATAATAATATTATTATTGTTTATTTTATTAAAAGAATCATATATAGTTAAAGTACTCCTTATGCCATTAATAAATAAATTTTTAATTCATAAAAAAATGATAGGTAATCTTTTTTTTCCCCTTCTCTTTTCATGTATTACGTCATGACAAGAAACCTAATTAGTTTTTAAAGAGAATATTATTATCAAAGTAGCAGGTCATTTTTCATTGACGATAATTCCTACTTAGCAGAGACGTAGGGAAAAGGTAGAAACAGAAATGGTGAACCGGTGATGATGATGTTGTTGACTTGTTGGCAGCGGAACTTTTGGTGCATTTTTAGTTTGGCAAAAAAGGGTAAATCGAGTCGCTCCCTTAATTTTCAATTCAGCGGCATATCAACCCTTAAACGAAATGCAGAAGCAAATTGACCATTAAACTTGTCAAAATCGTCATTTTGGTCCTTATTTGATGGATGCTGTTGTTGTCGTTCCCTCTAGAACTTGGGAAACGAAGAAATGAAGAAACAAGCTGGCTCCTAAACCGTTAATTTAGGCAATATGCATTTTTTACTTTTTATATAATTTGATTAAGAAATAATTATTTCAACAAATAAATATTGTTGATTAAACTCAAATTGTTAATAATATATGATTAAAGTGTTATCAATCTAGTTTTTATGCAATTGAAGACTAGTTAATGTTCCTCCAAAACAATCTTTAAGTATACACTTTTATATCAGTCTGATACATTAAAAAAATCTTATTTCATAAATTGTTAATCCTAAAATTTGAATAATAAATTTAACTTATAAAACAATATTTATTTATTTATAGATTTAAATTTGAAATTAACCCATATATATAATTTACAATTATGCTAATTAACTTCCTAATATGGGATTGAGGTATCATAACCGGTTAGGAAGATATGCAATGACTAACAATATTGCTACATAACTTTCAACCACTCCCTCAATGGTAAAAAAAAAAAAATAGCGTTAAATGTCCGAAGGCGTAAACTGATAACATACGCCAAATCTTTGGAAATATATAGTTATATCCAGACGCCTCGCCAAAGAAATCTTTGCTGCTAAATATGGTTTCTAAAAGCTTTAGGGGGGATTAATTAATTAAAAATTTTCTTGAAAGGTCAAATTAATAAAAAAATCCGATTATATTTTAAAGGTCTAGAAATTTTTTTGAGGGCCATCAAAATGAACTTAAGTTCCGTTCTTGGTCGCTAGCCCTGGTGGCTTCTTGAATATTTAGTTGTGAAAATGCAAAAACTAATTAGTGATTTTGTTTTCATCTCTCCCTCTGAACAAAATCTTTCATGGTTAAATCTCTATTTTGATCTTTAAACTATTATACAAAGCTCTAATTTGCTCCTTAAATTAAAAAAATTCATGATTTGTCCTTAAATTATTGTACGGACCCTCGATTTTGTCCCACTGTTTATAATTGGACCTAAGTTGATCCTTAAACTATTATACGGACCTTCAATTTGGTCCTTATTATTTACAATTTCGCCTTAATTTGGTCCCTAAGCTATTATTTAACAAAATCATCAAGTTGGGGCTAAATTGGTATGCAGTAAGGATCAAATTAAAGATCCATATAATAGTTTAAGGATTAACTTAAAGGTCCGTACAATAGTTTAAGGACCAATTCGAGGATCCGTACAACAGTTCAAAAACTAAATTAGGGATTTCTTTAATCTAGTGACCAAAATAGGAGTTTAACCAATCTTTCATAAATTTTTATGCAAGTGCCGTGGTGTGGGGCTGTATGTCTACAACTTTTGTAACACTCGGGTTTTATTTTTTGATTTTGATGTGACCCTTACTTTTAGTTTTCAACTCTATCTAACTAAATAAATAAATAAATAAATAAAGAAAAAAAGAGATATATACTATTATCTTTTAAGCATTCTAGAAGCTATGGTGGATCCCATTGCAGTGGCAAAAGCAGTTCGGTGCATTAATGCACCTCCTAAATTTAAATAATAATAATAATAATAATAATACAGATGTTGATTAAAGATTAAAAAGAGAAAGAAAAGTAAGCATTCTAGAAGCTATGGTGAAGTTTTCACTTAGTTTATTGATGTAAGTACAAATATCCATCTAACTGGGTTTGATCTGACTTTAGTTCCCACCCTAATTTAATGTATCAAAACTTTAAGGATTGAAAATTATTACTCTTTTTATTACAAAATAAATGTTAATTTTTTTATTTTTTTAATATATTAAGAATTTATAGATAATTATGTTTTTATGTATATTATCTTTAATAAAAAAAAATTAAAGACAAAGAAAAAATTTTAGTGATAAAATAGATATGAGTAATTAAAGGTAAGCCATAAAAATAATGTTAAAATAAAAAATATTTATGTATTGAAAAAATAAAAAATAATAATTAGTTTGAAACAAATTTTACATAAAACATAACAATTATTTTACAATATATTTAAGTTAAAAAAATAAAGAAAAAAATATTATATTTTATTTTTTCTTTTTAATTTAATTTCTTATTTAAATAAAAAAATTACATTTTTATTCCCCTTCTCTCATTTCTCCTCCTCTTCATTCTTGTGAACTCAAAAATAGGGTGAAGACAAAGAAAGTAGTCATATCACTAATTTTGGTTAAATTTAAACATCAAGATGTTGGGAAATCAAAGTCATAAGTCTATAATTTCATAGGTTCCGGAAAACACTCTGGAGTTGTTCTTTGCTGACTTTCTTCCATGTAAGACTACGGGATTTTATGTTACCCATCCCAATGGATCATTCAACTTAGCTCAAAGGTTCCATGCTTCCTACAAATGAGTGTTGTCCCCTCTTTTTGGGGATCCTCTATGTTTATTGAATTTTAAGAAACTGCCTTGATATGTGTGATCCCAATTACAAATCCACACGAATGGAGTTAATGTATTCTAATATTTTGTTTGGTTTGAAAAAACAATAGGGGAGTGAGAGAGGAGATGTGGCATTATTTTAGTAATTAAATTAAGTTGTTCTATCAATAAGAAAATTTAATTGGTAACAATAACTTTGCTCCTCTTTCGGCAAACCAAATAGATTATAATATTTTGGGATTCAAATCCAAATTTATTTTTCTGTGAAAGATGTTACATTCTAATGGCACAAAATATGAAACTTGACTGGCATATCAAAAGTATGAAAATTAATCTGTGAAAATCCGGTGATGGCTAATGCATATGCAATCTTATTTCATACTGTTATAGTTATATGATATTGAAGGACTGAATATCAACCAACTCAGGCGATTTGGTAAATAAAAAGAGTAAATAACAACTACAATACTAATACAAAAAATTATTTTTTAAGTCAAGTTACACTTTAAAAATGTAATTTAACTATTAAAATTATTAAACTATTTTTAATAAAGGCTTTTTATATCTATTTTTTATGGGTAATATAATAATTTTAATATCAAAATTATATTATTAATGTGCAATTTAAACTGAAATCAATGAATCTCAAACTAATATTATAAAATTCTATTATAAAATAAGTGTCAACAATAATAAATTTAGCCAATGCCGATTTTGCTCATTGACAAAAATTGAGCCTTCATAGCTTTGACGTTATGAATTTGACTCAATATATAACGAGTTTTTTCAAATATATTTTTTTTTAATTTTGATTTTGTATTTGAGTCATAATATTTATATTGTATATAATTTGTATATTATACTGGTAATCCACTTTATATAAAAATTTTAAAAAATAATAATCAATTTACTTTATTTTACAAAAAATAAAAAGAAAAAAAAGTGGGATATTTTTAAGGGTTTGTACTGAGTCAGCAGTAACGCATGCACATATCCAAAAAAATTAGGATAATAATTTAATTTAACCCTACTTAATAGTCATCCAACCCTAGTAAAACCTAAAACCCTTTAACGGTTAAAATTAATTAAACCAAATCAGTATTAAAAATTAAAATTAAAAAATATTCATTTTCCTGTTTTATATATATTTAACCCTGCACATCCATCTTCTTGCCCACCCCTCCATTACTGAACCTTAACATGCTCTCTTCTCCTTCTCTCTCAACTTCACTCCTCCCCTGCCCTTGTCCAAAGCTCAGAGCAGCTCCACATCCCCATCCTGGATCCTTAAGAACAAGATTCCGGCAGCCCCGTGCCACCGCTGCAACCGCCTCTCGTTCTGCTTCGAAGCAAGAACAGAGATCTGGTTACCTGAGCCCTCAGGGTACGATGGCGTCATGCATGTCGCTATACCAGGTTCTGGGGATTCCGGTGGGGGCCAGCAACCAGGAGATCAAGACGGCGTATCGTCGATTGGCGAGGGTTTGCCATCCTGACGTGGCGGCCATCGATCGGAAGCACTCATCCGCTGATGAATTCATGAAAATCCACGATGCTTACAGCACCCTATCGGACCCCCAGAAACGAGCCGTTTATGACAGCAACCTCTTATGGAGGCGACGAAGGCCGTTGACTTCCTCTCCTGCTGGGTTTTCAGGTTACCAGGGGAGGATTTGGTATACTGACCAGTGCTGGTAGACGAGTTTACCCGGATCGAGTAATTAAAGATCTGCCGATGATGAAACTGATTGCAATTTCCTAATATAAGCAACAGGCACCGGAAGTTTTGCCGGAGAAAACAGAGGAGCTCTGTTTTTCTGCTTACGTGTGTGCCCTTGTGGTTGCTGGTGAATCGGAGCTAGCCCTGGCTTCAGAGACAATGCTAATCCTAGTAAAATGTTACAGCTAAAATGCCCCCATTTTCATCTATTGGTTAAATACGAGACGATGCAAATAAATCTCGTGTTGAAATCTTGAGCCATGTGAGGGAGATTAAAAAATATAGTCATTGTCTGATATACAGAAAGGAAGTTACAGCTAAATAGATCAACTATTACCTGTTTTTGTAGTTACAGAAGAAATTAAATATCCTATTTTCTCTCTACTACACTTATATGGTTGATTTATTATTATAATAAATATATACTCAGCCTTGCAATTATGATTGTCAAACTTTTGATTTACCTTATGAATTCATGTTTTTAAGTAAGAAAATGAGGTTAAATCTCATACAAAATATAGGTTTCTTATGAAATTGCGCGTAAAATCTCAAAATTGTGAGTAAGATCATGAAATCGTAAAATTGGTTGGAAAAAAAGGGTGTATTGATAAGGTAACAGGTTCTTTTAAAAAATAAAAAAACCGAAGGCAGTTACAACTAAGGTGTGTTAAAAGAGATACTAATTAATAATAATGATATAATGGAGGAGGCAGGTTCTAGATGTAATTAATCCAGGAAAAAAGGGATGTCAAACTATTAGACTAAAATTAAGCTATGTTTAATTGAAGAAAATTAATATGTAAGGAATTGAAATGAAAAAATACAGTAAAATAAAGAAAATTTCTATTTTCCCCTTTTCTTCTAATTTTTGGTTACCAAATTAA